ATCAAAGCCCCCTTACTCATCTTCCAAGCATCTGATGTAAATGACGTGATCACTCCACCCTCTGACAACTGACCCACTGAAATAAGATTTCTTGTTAAACTAGGCACATGCCTAACATCATTTAATTTCAGAACCGTCCCATCTGTCTGAGTAATCTGCACATTCCCTTTCCCAACAATGTTGCAGGCTTCATCATCGTCCAAATACACTTTACCAAAGTTTTCCTGCACATAATTTTGTAGTACATCTATGCATGGAGTAGCATAGAATGAAGCTCCAGAATCTACAATCCAAGATTCACTGCGAGAATCCAATGAACAAATTAAAGCATCATTATTAGGCTTGTCAGCAATATTAGCAGTATTTTTGCCTCTTTGATTATTTTCATTCTGCTCATTTCTCAATGCCTTGCAGTCTTGCTTCTAGTGCCCCTTCTGATCACAGTTCCAGTAGCCTTTATCTCCGACATGAGATTTACTTCGGCCTCTGTTTCTCGAATACGACTTTTTCTTGCTCTTTTTATTGCCTCCCTTATTCATAGCCCTGTCTCTCTCTTCTGTATTGAGTGCTAAACCTGAAACAACATCCTCACCCGATGCTCTTCTCCAAGCCTCATCTCCTAGTATCAACATCACAACATCCTCTAATTTTATCTTTGCAGACCCGGAAGAATTGCTTACTACCACGACAAGTCCATTTCAACTTTTCGGCAGTCTTGATAAAAGGACAAGAGCTTTAATTTCATCATCAAAAATAATACTCACAGATTCTAACTGATTTGTGATCGTATTAAGTTCGTTGATATGTTCAACAACAATAGTGTTTTAAGAAATCTTTAAGTTAAACAACTTTTTCCATAAGATATACCTTACCCACCGCTGAAGGCTTTTCGTACATCTTTTTTAGGGCTTTGAACAAATTTGATGTAGTCTTTTCTTTGGCGATGTTAGACACAATTGACGGCGTGAGGCACAGTTGCACAGTCCCTAGGGCTTTGCGATCCAGAACATCCCACTTTGCTTGCTCCATATCCGCTGGCTTCGTCCCATCGATAGGTTGATACAGATCCTTCTAATACATAATATCATCCATTTGCATTTTTCAAAACGCGTAGTTCATGCCATTGAATTTTTCGATTTTGACTTTGTCTTCAGCCATTGTGTAAACCCTTGACCTCTTAACCCAGAGCTCTGATAACAGTTGTTGGGATTTAATATGTTTTAAACCCACAGACAAACACACACAATCAAATAACAAACCAAGAACATAAAGTAATAAAAAAATAAGAAAGACAAAACACAAATTTTACATGGTTCAACAATTTGCCTACGTCCATGAAGTTTCAGGGATGTCACTATTGAGAGAGAGGATTACAAAGAGGGGCTATACATTTCGATCAAAACGCTAATCACCAAAGTAGTGATTTTTTATACGTTTTACGCACCGGGCTACAAAATAGGCCCAAAAAATTTTCCTTGGGGGCATTGCCCCCAAACCCGCACGAGGCTTGTCCATGAACGCTATGGCTTGGGCCGATAATCTCAGAAAATTTCTCATTAAAAAATTACGCAACATTACTTCGGGTCGAACCATCATTCGGATTAACATACAAACTAGACTCCACAAAGGCCCAACAGAATCTAGTAACTATAAGAAGAAGAGTTCATCAAACCCATCTTATCTTTGGCACCATCTCAAGAATGTCATCTCACTGCTTCTAGAAGACCACTTGTCCTAGAGATACATGATTGCCTCTAACGGTAAAAAATTCCTCGATGATTCCAACAGATTTGATGGGGGGACCGCACCAATCTTAGATAGAGATAAAAGATTACCATAGTATAAATAGAAGATGATGCCTTACGAAAATTGGATTGAATTTTCTATAAACTTTTGAGAATACATAGTGAAGCAAAAGACTCTGTTCACAAAGGATTAGCCAAGCTATTTAGCTTGGTGAACCATTCATATTGTTGTTTCCTTTATTTGTTCCATGACGGTTAACACGAATATTTCACTCACTTAATCGTTCGACACACAGGACTCTCTCACACTCTAGTTTTTCACACCATCAGTATTAAAGCACAAACAAAACTATGGGATTTATAGACGAGTAGTACTTGTCTTGATTTTGTTGGATATCTCACACAACTGGAAAAAAAAATGGAAGGAAGAGTTCAACCTTATCTATACTACTATAAAATGTAAACAAACGTGAAATACTTTTGATTAACTAAAATAGCCTTAATAATACAACCAATTCTCATATTGTTTTTTGTATACTTAATGACATCTTTTAATTTTGTAATTATTGTTGTAGTAAAAGCATTATCTACATCTTAAATTTTTTTTATATTGCTTCTCCAATATTTCTAAATATCCATACATGTCAAATGCTTTTGATTAAATAATTCTATAATGTCATTTTTAATGTGCATGACTTCTCCAATCTAAGTTTGTTTGACACTAAAATGTAACTTATTAACTTTACTATGAAAACTTTTGACATTCTCGGATTACTAATATCCATTAATTCAATTGGTAAAATATAACTTAACTATCTAAACTCTTGACATTCTTGGTCTACTCATATTCATCTATTCAACTAGCAAAATCTGATTATGGTCATTGAATGCATTCAATGTATGCATGAAGAGAATTGCAAAAAAATACCTTTATATATTCTGTTCACGTTGTATATTTCATAGCGCAAATGGAATTTTGATAATTCTATATTGTGGTTTCCTTTAGTTCACCACTATTTTTTCTATGAATAGGGGCTAACAAAAAACTACTTACCGTAAACTAGCAAGATAAGTTCAGAGTGTAAGATACTCTTCTTAAAAAATGATAAGTTCAGGGTCTTTCTAGAGCCCGTTATTTTAGAGGAGCATTCATTGGTTAAAAATGGAAATCAGGTACATATCAAAATGATAGTTTATCTCTCATCTTGGGTTTTCCAATGTCATGCTTAATTCTAAGAGGTCTAGACCTTGGTGGTCATATATATGATTTCTTTCAGTTATAAAACTCCTAATGTTTGTCAAATTCTTGTTCCTTATATTAGGTTGCACCATTCATAGCTAGATTCTTAGATTAAAAGTTGCTTCAATTATTTTTTGTTTCATATTTATCTTATTAAATATAAATGTAAGATAATTGTTTGAGTAACTAACATATATAATATTGATTATGCATAAAAGTGGCTTTAAACAAAATCAATTAAGGATAAAGTAAAGAAGGCTCAACACAAGTAAACACAAAGATTATGTGGTTCAGTTTAGGTGATCTAGTCCACTGGGAATGACTACGATAATTGGAGAATATTTATTATTAAAGGGACATAGCGTATTGAGATGTGTGTGATGTCCTTCATGTGGTAGGCTGGACTTACAATTTATAGGGGAGTACAATCTTCATAGTGTCCCAAAGCGGGCTTTGTCAAAGGCGTCATGGCAGAGAGCCCTGATTAAGGCCTCAGCCTTGTAATGGGAACGGGTGACTCTGTAATGTTGGTATAACCGGCAATGAGGCTTGCGATGTGCACTCTGATTCCTTCCAAAAATGGGGATCTCATGTTCGTCACTAGTGAACTGGATTTTCCATGACGATGGACTTGACCCTTGTTGGCTTGTATCTTTGATCTGGACTTGGCTACACTTGTGACCTGTGCCAAGTCAGAGCCAGGCTGCACCTGTGACCTGAGTCTGGTCTTAGCCCCGCTTGCGTATGTGATCTAGGCTTAATCTGGCTCAACCCTGTCGAATATCAAACAATGTGATTGAATTCCATATGTTCATTATCAACAATGAGTGGGCTCCCCATAGTAAGAAATATATTCATAGAGAGGAAATATCATTGTAAATTTTTCAAAACAACACACGAACTCATTTAAAATTAGAGCAATGCTATACTACACAAATATTTGTCTAACTTTTGTATCCCAAATCAATGCTAGTTGGTTAGATTAGAGAAGTTCACAAACTCCACCAAATATTCAATACATGAAATTTTGACACTTAACATACAAAATTTGTGCAATAATTTATGTAACACAATTTTATCCTTAAAATAATTCACGTGTACATCTAGTGTAACTAAAAATGAGAAGTGCACAAAGTTACTTTAGGTGGGAGGCCGGCAATATTTGGCTTGAGTTAAGGATAAAAACTTATTGAAATGATTACACTGCTGTTTAGAAAGTGACTAACCTCGCTTCTCTCCATCTTTTAAAAGGAAAAAGCTGTTTTTACTTACCCACAACAAAGGCTGCTTAGAAAACATTAATTATGTTTTCCTTGAGATAATTATAATAAGGGGTACTTTGGTCAATGAAACTCTTTTTAACCACTTACCTTTTACTTTACAGAGCCAGATAAAAGATAAATTTAAATGCTAATAAAAACTTCAAATAATATGTTGCTATATTATTTGCGCTTTAAATTTAGTATCAAAATTCGATCAATGTAACATTATTGGGGAGAGAATGGAAAGGTCACGTGACTGAGAATGGAGGTCACGTGTATTGAGGGACTGGCTGGAATTTATCATGCAAATTACATAGTGATGAATAATGACTGTTTGTTTTCTTATGGGGATGTTTTTTTGGTTTCTCTGTCTAAATGCTGTGTGGGCTCAAGTTTCAAGCACTGTGATTGGGTCAGCCACAGGCCGAACCTCACTCTACTCTACGTTTTATCTCTTACACTGTCGCTAGCTTTATATGGAAGACTTGCCTCAACCTTACCTGCTCAAGGTTGGCGTCAATGAAACAAAGTAAGAAAGTTCATAGAAAAAGCTAAAAGCTTAAAGCATAAAAGAAAGCTGTTTGCACAAAGCTACTGCTTTTCTTCGTCTTCTCTCTCTCTCTCTCTCTCTCTCTCTCTGCCTTTTATGTGGAAAGCTGAAAGAAACAACACCCACTTCAACAGCTGTATAGGTAGGGAATTGATTGTGCTTCATCTATAAGATATATCTGAACAAGCCATTGAAATTTACTCATGTTTAACAACACTGCTTCGGCTGGTCCATCTCCTCCATCTGATGCCTTCACTCCCTCAGAAAATGGAACTATCAACAAGAGGAAAAGAAGACCAGCTGGTACTCCAGGTAATTAGCAACCCAACAACTCTCTCTCTCTCACACACAACTCTTGGTACTGCAATATAATTGATGGGTTTGTTCCAAATTATGTAATATGATAGATCCAGATGCAGAGGTCGTGTCACTCTCACCCAAGACCTTATTAGAATCAGACAGATACGTATGTGAGATCTGCAACCAAGGGTTTCAGAGAGACCAGAACTTGCAGATGCACCGCCGCAGGCACAAGGTGCCGTGGAAGTTGTTGAAGAGAGAAACACCGGAGGTGAAGAAGAGGGTGTTCGTGTGCCCTGAGCCAAGCTGCTTGCACCATGACCCGTGCCACGCCCTCGGAGATCTTGTGGGCATTAAGAAGCATTTCAGGAGGAAACACAGCAATAACAAGCAGTGGTTGTGTGAGAAATGCTCAAAAGGATATGCTGTTCAGTCTGATTACAAGGCCCATCTCAAGACTTGTGGTACTCGAGGCCATTCTTGTGACTGTGGCCGTGTTTTTTCCAGGTTTTTCCTCTTGCTTTCTTCAAAGGACTCTCAACTATAAAAAAGTTTGACATCCCTTCTCTTTCTCTCTCTCTCTCTCTCTTGTTGGATGATATATTGTATACACCATCTGTTTTTTTTTTCGGTAAGTATATATACACCATCTTACAGTCGTTGGTAATAGCAATATTAATTGAAAACCGAAAATTCCCCAAATTAACATGGTTGAAGAACCATAAATCTCAATTCCTTGAATCATTCCTTCTGGTTTATTTATAGTTTTCTTATGAGGTATTTATGACCCATTTAGGATTGTATTTTACTCGTATTCTAATTATGGTAATCTAGAGATAAAATTACAATAGTAGATGACCTCATATTGGGCATATTATGTGATTTAGAAGAGCCAATAGAAGTGTAAGACCAGTGACTCACTAATTCCAATAACAGTTTCCATATTTAATAATAGCATAGTCATAATCCAAATGTCCAGCCCCTTGATCGAATTTTTTATTACTTGTTAGTTGGTAACCCTACATGGAAGAAACATTGATTATTTCCTTGACTTAGCTGTTATACCCCATATTTTTGTATTAAGACATCAAGGCCAAGCCACATTATCTGATAATCTATGTAGTTTATGCTTGGAATCATTCTATGCTTTGTCCTGTCAGAGTAGAGAGTTTCATTGAGCACCAAGACGCTTGTACTGTCCGGCTGATCCGGCCTGAGTTACCAGTTTTGCAGCCGGCTTGCTCTTCTAGAACCGTTTCTAGCACCAGCCCATCAAGTGACACCAACTTCAACATTTCCCCATTGCCAAGAAAACCAATGCAAACACCTTCAGAACCTGTCTTTTTATGCCAAGATCATCACCATTCGACTAATGATGATCAAGAACACAACTTGGAACTCCAACTACTACCATCATCAAACACATACTCATCGCTACAAACCAACGAAAACCATGCAAATAATTTGAAACTCTCCATTGGGTTAGACGGAAGTGGCAGCTCTAGACGACTATTGAATGCTTCAGAAGCAAAATTGGAAGAATCAAGGTTCAAAGAAGGGGCAAATGAGCAGCTAAAGTTGGCAATGGCCGAGAGGGCCTATGCTGAGGAGGCCAGAAAACAAGCCAAGAGGCAAATTGAATTGGCTGAGTTGGAATATGCTAATGCAAAGAGGATTAGACAACAAGCACAGGCCGATCTTGAGAAGGCTCAAAGTCTGAAAGAGCAAGCCACAAAGAAGATTAGCTCCACTTTACTTGAAATCACTTGCCATGTTTGTAAGCAACAATTTCAAGCAACAGCAGTTCTTGCACCAGCTGATGAGACTTCTCTTGCTATGAGTTATATGTCCTCAGCCATGACAGAAGGTGGAGAGTAGCAACAGCCCCATCGTTCAACTTTGCTACATATATATAAATCTATTTGTTTGTATGCCATCCGTTTATTTTCTCAAACTATATCATGTGGGTATTTGGGCATTCTAGTGTGAAGCTCCTAATCCAACGAGTGTTCTGATTTGTTTTTTTATTTCCGTTTTTTCTTGTATTTGCGCTGAATATTTCTTCATTTATTCAAATGACAATATGATCACTAAAAAAGTTTAATTGCGTTCTTGTTTGTAAGATTTCGAGGACTCCCACTGCATCATCACAGTTATATGTATTCTCCTCTTCCTCTCCACCAAGAAGACAAGTAAAATGCATATTTTGACATACGTTAGCTCGAAATTCATTCATTTCATGTAACTGTTTGACTTGGTTCATTTTTTGGGGTTTTGTTCGTCCTTTTGGGCTTGATTATGAAATAGATAATGGTTAAAATGGAAAGAGATGGCTTAAATTTTACTGTTCTATTCAGTTGCAGGAAAGTATGTTTGTTCAAATAGATAACTATGTTGAGAATAAACACAACCATGCATTTGAACGCGAACAGGTAGGAATATATATAGGGGGCCACGCACTCACTGTTTTTGTACCTAATTCTTCATCTGGCTGCATGGAAAGGGGTGCAATACTGCAATGTCTTGGACAAGTTAGCTGTAATACTAGGTGGGGTCATTCACTGATGGTTATTTCTTTTATTACTTTATATTACTTTTTTTCACCTCCAATTCAGTCAAGTTCTCTACATAGAAGGTTTTTCAAAGAAATTTTACTGTGATGGATATGAACCCATCCATCACGTTATATTTTTGCACAGTAGATTGTTTATATAATTTTCTTCATTGCAGAGGATTTGTCCTTTTTAATTCTAGTATAGATGTAACATGAAAGCATTCAGTACCTACTGTTCTATTCCTTTTCTGTTAAAATTTCCTAAAAACTTCATAGTTGTTTCTTTTCAACGTAAAACTTCAAAAAAAATGGATTGAATGTTAATAAATGGACCCTAATCACAAACTTGTAAGATTAAGCAGATCATGCATGTCTGTCTAATGTGAAATTTAAAGCTATTCAATATCTGTTTTAGAGCTTCAAGCAAAAAACATGGTGCTTATGTTTGTGTTTTTGGGGGTGAATAAATAGAGCTTGAATGACTAGCCTCTTTAGTGTTTAGTATATCATGGGGCACATAAACTACAAAAGTCAAAGGTAGTGGAAATATGGATAACAACTTTTGGGCTAGACTTTTGAGAGCTATGTATATAGACTTAAAATGTGGACTTACAATATAAACTTGATCAATTATTATCATTGATTTTATTGTGAGTCTTAATATTTATTGGAATTCACTATATTTTAAGTTCAAATAACATTTTTTGACTTTTAATACCTAGGTTTAAGCTTTCCCTACTACCAAAGAGGATGCTTTTTTTTTTTATTAGATTTAAAGACAATTTCTTTTTCTTTTGAGTAACCAACATATTTTGCTTAAACATAGGAAGGTGCATTGAAAGGTGCTGACTCCTTACCTAACGTTAGATATCAAAATCGAAAGATAAGATTAATGTATTATTGGGTGGCAGGCATTTGTATGTTGGATTTGATTCCTCCATAGCAATTAGGTAATAGAATTACTTTTTACGTCTTTTCATTTACTTAACAATAGATTGAATTCAATCAATTTTCAGGATTTATGCAAATCACCACAATTTATATTATCTGGTTTTTAAAAGTGAATGTTGCTTCTCAAAAAAAGATGAACAGACCGAATAACACCCTCGTGGAAAGGATTTGTTTACATTAGAATATCTTCAACCTTTATTTATTTATTTTTTTTGTAAATTTAAATTTAAATTAGGTAAACATATCCTTAAAAAACTTCTTCAATCCTATACCTAAACTCATACCAAAGAAAGACTTAATTTTTACCCAAAGTAAAGGAGACTCAAATCTCAAATGGTTAGATTTCATTCTTCTTTAAAAATTTAATGATTATATTATATTCTCCTTTAAATTTAAGTTTATTCTCCTTTAAATTCGAATTTTTTAATTATAGTTTTTTTATTAAATCAAATTTTTTACTCAAAATATTGACTCATATTTAAATAAAAAATTGAGTCAAGATTTGAGATGTCTTTGTATGTTTCACCTTATTCAAAATATCCTAAATTTTGTAAATCTTATATGGAATCTGCTAATTGCGTATAAATCACTCTGAATGTCCCAAATTGAAGAGAGGAGCCAGGAGTCAGGAGCCAGGAGAGAGGAGAGTTGTCTTCATTGCATTTCTGATCCTTATAAATGCTGATGAAAACACCATGGTTTTCAGTGCCACAGTTGAAAGGTTAAAAGATAGGCAGTCGTCTCTATCATCAAAAGATACAAGAGACACAAAAACAAAGACTTTCTCTCTCATGGCTCCCATTCTGTCTGATGTTTATTTGAAAATAATGTGGCCTACTGATGTGAACTAATCCAATTACCCTAAACGGAGAGGATCTGTTTTACGTAAACATATCTCACCTTATTCAGAACTTATCCTCAATTCTTGGAGGACAAATCATGGTTTGACGATTCAAATATATGGCTATCTCATATTGTACCTCTAATTATTTCTAATAATTTTAAATTCTCCCCTCAAACATATTGTTTCTCATATTGTGTCAATGTTGTACCTCATATTATGTCAATGTTGTTAAACAATGAAAACTTGATTATACTACAGATTCAGAGATATTTCATTCGAAATATGTCGGGTATTTGTCGTTGGAGCATTACAAAACCATCCAAGTAATAGTGAGTACTAGTTATTGCATGTGTCTGAAGATACATAGTAATAAAAATTAGTAAACAATAAACATATTTGTATTTATGTCCAAAATCAAATTATAAATATAGAGAAGAGATAAAGAAATTTAAACATTGATTTTATAGTGAAGGTGAGAGATGGTGGACAGCAGTGGTGGTAGAAGGAGACAGTGATGGTAGTGGTGAGTCGTAATAACCATGGTGGTGGTGGCAGCGATGGTAATGGTGGCGACGACAGCGGTGGTGGTAACAACTACGGTGATTGTGGCAACAGAAGAGTGGTGGTGGTGGTGGTGGTGGCAGCGGTGGTGGTGATGGTGATGGTGATGGTGATGGCGGCGGTGGCGGTGACGACAGTAATGGTGGTGGTGGCGGCGGTAGCAGTGATGGTGGTGGTGGTGGTGGTGGCGACGAGCGGTGACAGTGGCGGTGGTGGTGACGGCGATGGTGGTGGCAATTGCGACATTGGCGGTGGCGGCGGTTTCAAATATTATTTTTTAAAAAATATTTATGAAAAATAATTTTTATAAGTACTTTAAAAAAGTTATTACAAATACATTTTTAGGGGCCTATTTTTCCTATTAAATTTAGAGTATTAATATTAGTCATTACATTAACTTTAAAATAAAATTTAAAATGATCTCAACTACGAATAGTAAAAGTCATTTTGTTTATCTTTTAAAATTTAAATTATAAACTACTTTATTATGTAGACAGTAAAACTATGGTTTAAAGGGGGGGGGGGTCAATATACAACTTTGCCAATTTAATAAAATGAATAAATTATGTTAAGGTGCATAGATTCCGTTGAATATCTTTCATTGAAGAGAGGAGCCAGGTTGTTTTCATTGCATTTCTGATCCCCCTGATAAATGCTTGTGAAAAATCATTGTTTTCAGTGCCACAGTTGAATGGTTAGAACGCAGGCAGTCGTTCCTATCAGCTAAAGATAAAACACACACACATACAAATACTATCTCATTGTACCAAAAAAAAAAAAAAAATGCTTTCTCTGTCATGACTGCCTTTTATCAGAGTCAGGAGATGAGCCATTAGCCACTGTCAGCAGTAGCAGTAGCAGAAGCAGCAGGTACCATAGTGCCCTTTTCAGAAATTTATTTAGAGGAAAAATGTGATGCTTATTAAATTTTTTTATCAAATTTTCTATCTCAAATTATATGACACAATTTCCGTTATTGAATACTAATAAGATCTATTTATTTGATGGTAAAAAATTATATCACATAATTTATGATAGAAATAATCAGAATATTTGATAAACATAACATTACCTTATTTATAGTAGAAAGACCACCCATGACCCAACAAAACATTCTAGTTTGAAAACCAAGTGTAAAAATTAAATGGTAAACAGAAATAAAAGCTAGTTGTGGATAGTGGTTTTGTATTTACTGTTGAAGTCGATCCTTGCAAAAAGCCAACAGAAGACTATGGGGTTAGCCTGCTGGGTTTCTATTTCAACTTCTCTACTTTATCTGGGACCACTTGCGCCCCTCTTGGCACCTTTTCAATGAAGTGTCCTCGTGTTTTTTGCCCGCAGTGGAAGCTATCTAAAGTCTAAAGGTTATAAGTCTATTTTTTATCTTAATAATAAGTAGTTAAATCTAATATTTTTTTAAAACTCTAAATGCCCTTCTCATAATGCTTCAATAGTACTAGACCTTAATTCTATTTCCTAATTGGGAAATACTCAGATTCTTTACTCCTTAATTCTATCCTTAATTCACGCTCATAAGATTTGACCATAAAATTTAAAATTCAAAGTCATGATCCATATTATTCTAGTTGTTCCCCAACAAGTCTGAGTTTTTACTTCCTCAGCCACCATGAATGAAGATGTTGTCGCCGAAGCTCCAACAACTCTTTCCGTCCATACATCTCCGCCTCCATCAATGCGCTTACTTTCCCCACTACCGTCAACAATGGTTACTCCCCTGAACGAAACCTTAACCAAAGTATTAATTCCTCCTCCTCATACAGTAGCAATAATAGTCGCAACTCCTCTTCCAATCGACCTCTTAAAAACTCTTGCCATTTCTTACCCTTGTCCCAATTTTTACTTCTTATAATGGATCAATCATTTGATTCTGCTATTTCTAGTTGGTTGTTTGTGTATTTAGTTGGTTGATCAGCGATGTTTCGATTTGGATCTCGATTTAATTGGTTGTGTATTTTTGTGAAGAAGATGATGTTGTATCGGTTCAATTTTTTTTCCATGTTATTATTTTTGTTTTGTTATGCTTGTGGATGTTACTACCTTTATTCATGTTACTATTTGTTATTGAACATGTTACTATTTTTTTTATAAGCATGTTACCGTTAATATTGAATGTTACTATTTTTCTGAAAATATCAACTTCAATGTTAGTATTTTTTGTTAAGTATGCTATTAT